ACACACACACACACACACACACACACACACACACACACACACACACACACACACACACACACACACAATGATAGAACTTTACTTCGGTACTGTACTAAATATATTTTTTGAGTATCTGTACTTTACTTGAGTATTTTTTATTTCTTTTTAGAAAAAACTCCCCTACACTTAAAGACAAATATTGTACTGACTCCAACCCATTTCTATGAGGGACTCTTACTTTGAAGCAGAGCTTTTAGTCAGCGAATGAATATTCTTTTATTTTGAAAATGTGATAGACCATACACTGTGTTGATCACAGGAGAAGAACCAATCACAGCCAACTCCTCCACTGTCACTCATGTGTGAACCTGTCAGTGTCCTAACGATGGCGACATTAGATAAAGATGAGGCAGAAGATTCTTCACCAGAGACCACGGTCTGATCTGAGGTCTGTGTTTGAAGGTTTACAAATAAAGAAAGATTTATTTAGTTAGAAAGGTTTGCTGAGTTTACCACGACCAGACTTCATCACTGACCAAATAAATAAATAAATAAATAAATAAATAAATAAATAAATAAAATGAAAACAACAATGGATCCTTTTGTTGATTCATTTGTTTTTATGTCCATGTCCTCAGTCTTTGTATCATAATATAGTCTTTTTATTCTACAGGTTCTACAGTCAGTCAGTCAGTCAGTGAGCCAACAGGTTCTATAAATATGGATCAATACAACAATGAGTTGACATTAAAAATGTACTTTTGAATACTTCCGTATTTTTAAAATCAAGTACTCCAGTACTTTAACTCATAGCATTTGACCTGGAGGATCTAAACTCAGACTCCAGTGATGGAGTTGTGGACTTTGTCCACCTCTGCCCACCACCAGAGCTGCTTACAGAGGATATTTATTTAAAAAATGTGCATCCAGCTGTCCTCTTTGATCAACTCATCTCGGCCCTTCCCACCATCTTCCCCACAATGCCTCTGTTTCAGTTCAGCTCTCCCTACGACAGTGTTATGCTACATCACATATATCCATGACAGTTTGGCCTCTGTCTGCCCTCTGTTTCCTACGCCAAACTAACAGGGGGCAGCACATCACCACAGAGTCCGAAATCTGACTCACTGATGCTGGAATGTTCAAAGATCACATTTTATTCCAGCCTCCATACTGTGTGAGCAAAGCAAACCCACCTTTGTTGCTGTAGTCATCTATCATGACAATCTCAGCCAGGTACTTCCTGGGAGTCCTCTTGATGACACTGTGGACGGTTCTCATCAGAGTAGACCAGCCTTCATTATGGAAGACTATCACCACACTGGAGGTCAGCAGTCTGTCGTCATAATACCAGTACTTACACCTGGAGATGTGGGACAGAACACAGAGTGCAGGTCAGTTACATTCATTCAGAAATGTCATGAATGTTGCTGCTCTCTGTCTCTAATGCAACGTCTCTGTGTAAACATGAAAAGAGCAAAAAGGGTTGATTTGGGTTGGATAAATCTCCTAGAAAAGAAATGGAGGGGCAGCGGGTAGGGAAACCACGAGAACCGATACTTCAGGAATCGGAAAATGGGATGGTACTTGTTTTTCTACAGAACTGAAGGTACTGAAGGTATCATATGTGCTGGAGATGTTATTCTTCTAGGACTTTCGAGAGCAGTAGAATAACACTACAAGTGTTCTAGTCTAACATCAAATTCAGAAAGAAGAAGACAGGCACAGTAAATAACAACAACCATGGCGAACAACAGTGGCAAGTGCAGGTGCAGCAACAGGTCCGTCACAAGTTGTCCAAAAAAAGAAAACATGGAGATAGTTAGTATTTGTGTAGTAGTATGTGTGTGTGTAAGGTAAGGCAGTAGATAATGTTCGGTTTTATTCAAAGTGTTCTAGAGAGTTGTTTAAGGTAAACACAAGAAACTTGTGCTACAGAAAATGGACCAGACTCAGTGAATAGCTCCCTAAGCTTAACATCCTAAGTCCTATGATAAGTATTAATTTAGCTATACAGACTAATGAGCAGTGATAACTAACATGTCTTTGGGGTCATCAGGTGGGAACCTCATTTCACCAGTGTTTCGTCTAGTTGGTCCCACGACACCTCCAGGAGGCTAGACAGTGATCACTGGCGTCTCAGAGTCACTCCCCTAATGCCAGCCATAACTGCTCCTCACACCACAACTATTTTCTCCTTTATCTTGCCTATGCTACCACACACAACATCATCAACTAGGACAAAACACACTAGCAGATTCAGCAAACAAACTCCCCTAACCAGTTGGAGAAAGTGGCGGCCATTTTGAATGAGGGAGGTAGAGTCAAGGAGGGATGCCTTATTGAGCTAAACTCTCCCCCGCCGGATTAGGCTGTGCTCTCCCTCCCCCTACTCCCCCACTCTCCAAGACAATGAGGGAGGTAGAGTCAGGGAGAGGTGCCTTTTGGGCTAGCTCTCCCCCGCTGGATTAGGCTGTGCTATACCCCCTCCCCCCCTTCTCCCCTACTCTCCAACAACTCAACTAAAATAAACAAACTCACCTAAACAGCCAAAGACAAAAGCAATAAGCACACTACAAACCAATTCAAACAACGCAAACAAACAATACAGGCCACCTCACCTGGACTAGCCGCATGGTCTCAAAGAGGCTCACACAGGCCACACCACCCACTTTAAAAAAAAAAAAAAAAAAACACATCCTCTTCCTAGATTTCTTCCTTGCTTCTCCTAAGAGTCTGTCTATCCTAAGTGCTCCCCCTGCTGGGCCCCCAGCTACCATTATTTAATCTCATCCAAATCCACTGACTGGATCTTACTGCCTCATCTGACATGTCCTTTACTATTTTCCTCACACTCTGTCCACTTCCTCCTAACTCCCTCACCAAAGAAACAACAGACCTTGCTACAAATCCTCTACATCCTACTTCCACTGGACAAATCCTAACTTTCCATCCTCGCTGCTCTGCTTCTGCCCCTAACTCTACATACCTGAGCTTTTTCCTTTCATATGCTTCTTCAACTGAAGCCTCCCACGGAACAGTCAGCTCTATGAAATATACTTTCATTCTACTCCTAGACCACAAGACTATGTCAGGCCTTAGCTTTGTACTGGCTATTTCCTGGGGAACAACAAGCTTTCCTCCTAAATCTACCTGCATTTCCCAATCACAAGCATCCTCTAAGCTGCCTTGCCTCCTTGTTGTCTTACCAACTTTCTCTCCCTCTTGAACAAACTTGATTGCAACTCTCTTTATTTTAGGCCCTCCTAAATTTGCCTGCCTCCGTAAATCTTCAATTCCTGCAGCTAAGCTTTTTAAAACCTGGTTATGTTGCCACGTATACCGGCCTTGCAACAGACTAACCTTACAGCCTGACAAAATGTGCTTTAAAGTTGCAGTACCTGAACACAATGAACTTAACTCAACTGTGTGATCATCATGGAGGATGTAGCATGTCTTAATTCTGAGCTGTATCACGCTATACTGAGAGGTGTGTCTGTTATTTAGCCTTACTCCATTGATATAAATGGGGTGGACAAAATAATAGAAATGCCTTTCAATAGACTTTATGTAGCAGTAGTTTAGTTTTGGTGTTTGTGTTATTTTTAATTTTGACACCAAGATTTTTAATTTTTACTGCAAATGTAAATTGTTCCAAATATTGGTTATCAGTGTCCTTGATTACTAATATCACTATTGGCCGAGAAAAGAACCACACGGGGCAAGGTGACTTACAACAACCTGTGCAGCTATGTGCTGGATAGCAAGCTGGCTATGTAGGAAGATGACATCCACATTCTTATTCCTACTTACTAAGCTCTGATTGGTTGACTGCTTCTCCAACAGCAGAAACCCCTGATAGAGATCACAACAACAGACCCATATATTTAAATCACTGAACAAACTGGAGATGTGACACCAGGCAAGGATTACAAGTGCTTTATGTAAAAACTACTAAAACAATAATTAAACAATAATATGCTGCCAAGTTAGCTAACAGAGCCCTGTGCCATGAAGCAGGTTCAACATTATCAAGGATAACTTTTATTTATCTGGTTTAACTGAACCTAACATTGACCGTCCAGATAACCTGTACTATGAAGCTGGTTATCACTTGGTTCAGTTAACTCTGTGTTTACTTGTCCGGCTACGAGTGTGTCATGTAAAAGAGGCAGAGTTTTAATTATAAGCAACATCATCAGAATCATGAATAAAGTATTAATATGATATGAAAAGAAACTGTGATTCCATTAAAGTGATGTCATAAAGTGATATTCAACAAGGTGAAATGTAAACAACATGATCACATGACTAGAATAAAAAAGAAACACTAGAAATATTTTCCAATGACTTATGTCAGGCTAATGATATTGTAAATAAGAGAAAACTAATTATCATGAATTATGAATCCTTATCTTACTGAGTATTTTGCTCTTTTGTCTGATGATGAACAAACTGTTATGAACATGTGATAGGAGAGGAGAGAAGACTAGCTGATGTTTGATGATACAGTCTGACTGAAATGTTCATTTCTAATCATGGAAACATTGAACAGTGTGTGGATCATTGTTGGTTTAGTTTTTATTTCTCTTCATGTTGTTCTGAGCTTAGTGATGAAGAAGAGAGTAAAAGCTTTGTCACTGTCAGTAATCTTTTTGATTAAAGAATCTGTTTTCAGGTCAAATGAAGCTCTAATAGTTATTGTGTAGTTATTTAGTAGATCCTGTAGGAATGGTGACTCAGTTACCATGGGGATTTACCCCAGTAACACGTGAAGCACCGTCATAGAACTGAAAACCCAGAGTTAAACCTGAAGTTATCTCGATAACCTCACATCCTGCTTCGTAGTACAGATTCCAGGTCAAACACACTCAGGTGTCATTCAGGACGACTTTATTCCTGCATGAAAAAACACAGCAGGGGTGCCAGTACAGAGGGCTCCCTCAAAAACAGGGTGCAGGGTGTCCTAGGAAAAAACTTAACATTAGGTGCAAGGCTCTTTGATGGCTAAACACCTGCGAGCGCACATTCCTGGTGAATCACTTAGTAGCATGAACATTGTATTTCTGTTTACCTTGTGATCGCCATGACAAAAGATGGAAGTGCCTTGAAAACTTTGCAGAGTTGCAAATTGTTGTTGTTGGTCTGAACTCCTGTGAACAACTAAGTGGGACTGACTCTGCTCCGACACAACTGAGCTGTCCACTTTATAAGCTTTTATTAGTCAGTCTGTCAGTACACTCATGTCAACACACTGTTCATGAAGAGACGGTACATAACAATGGCAGTAAAATACACACACACACACACACACACACACACACACACACGCACACACACACACACACTCTTAAATACGTCATGGAATCTGCTGTTTGTCTTTAGACAAATCTAACGTACCAACAATGACAAACAGTTGGGTGGGGTTTCTGTGTGTTCCTGTGCTGGCTGGATGTTTAAAGGCAATTTTTCTGGAAAAGAAACCTGTGGATTATGTGAGGACTGTGCAGTCAGAACATGCTAGAGCTCCTGAAAACACCGAGTGGGACTCAGAAGTGAAGTGAAGCCAAACCTGGTGCAGTCATGACGTGTTAATGTAAAGGATTGGCTCAACCGTCCAACCTGTGTGTATCAGACCGGTTAAAGGCAGTGTGTTCAGTGGAGCATGTATGAGTCACACCCAGCTGCCTTGTGTGTGTGTGTGTGTGTGTGTGTGTGTGTGTGTGTGTGGTGGTGTTGTGTGTGTAGGTGTGTGTGTGTAGGTGTGTGTGTGTGTGTGTGTGTGTGTGTGTAGAAAAGCAGGAACAGATTCCACTGCATCACTGTCATTGTCAAATAAATTATTTTAACTCCCTAAATGTCATATCTAGGGCAGTTTGCTTGGGTGTGTTCATTTACTCTAACTAAACAGCTCACAGTGATTTAATTGATCCTAGCTTCATGCACTCAGAGAAACAGGGGTATGGTTTTTGTACCCAAAAGGTCAATTTTTCATAAAAGTATCCTGTAAGGTGCTGAAATGACCTCAACACAACTGTAGTAAGTAACAACACAGCTGGGTGTGTGTTTTAGTGATTTCCTCTAGTCTTTACATTGTTCTAATGGTTTTAATAATGTTGTAGGGTCATGAGGTAGGCTCACAAAGCCACTGTTAAAACACTGAATGAACTGAATGTAATAGAGTATCCGAGTCATGAATTTGTGTTTTGTAAATGTACTTTTACTGAACTTTGTTCCTGTTTTGTGTCTGAAACCAAAATGAAATTTCTCTTGGTTGTAATCAGTGATAAGAGAATGGCTCCTCAGGTCTAATGCTTCAACTTAATGTTGAATAGCTGCTTTTTCTCATGTGCTGGAACAAATAACACTTAAAATGGATCAGTTTACATATAAAATGTTGATTTTGTTTAAAGGTGTAAAATAATTGTCAGTTAAAATAAATTTTGGTCATTAACTGTTAATGTTTTTGCCTCATAAAAAGGTACAAAATGCACATAGCACCAACTGTCCCTCATAAGGTACCAATTCTGGAGGTGCCTCGGTGGTTCACCTGGTAGAGCGCGCACCACATGGGTTTAGTCCTAACTGCAGCAGCCGTGCAGTCGAGTCTGACCCACTGCCCCTTGCTGCATGTTATTCCCTCTCTCTCTCCCTGACTTTCCTGTTCCTCTCACCTATCAAAATAAAGGCAAAAATACCCCAAAAAAACTTTGAAAATAAATAAATAAGGAACCAATTCTGTACCTTTCCAGTGGGCATATTTTTGTACCAGGACATAAAGGTAAATTTTTGTCATTAGGGGAACAGAAATGTTCTTTCAGAGGTCCAGAGAAGAAGGTACAAAAATAGGTACAGCTGAACCCTGCTAGGGTACAGCGTCCTGTACTTTCATTTCTTAGTGTGTGTTGGTAAAACTCTGCCTGTACTTGCATTAGATGATGTAGGGATCATTTTACTTTTCCCATAGTGGTCCTGTAATAGTAATCGAGGGCATATTACAGTTAGAAGAAACGACAGTATTAAAGAAGGCGGCAGACTTGCAGTCAGTATGAACAGCGGCACTCACTCTTCATGGCGTATATCACTGATGGTTCTGTCCAGTGAGATCATGTCGCTGGCCACCATGTTGAAGCCAAACTCTTTGATGGAAGCCTGGACCGAATCTTTGTACTCCGGACCCAGGATAAAAGGCTTCGCTCCCTCTCCAGGACCGCTGAGGACCCCTGGAGGCTCGGGTTCCTTGGGCTCAAAGTTTCCCAGGATACCTTTCTTCAGGATGGGGCTGGTGTAGGCATGTGAGTGGGGTCTGAATGTCACATACTGCTGCTGGATCACCTGCTTCTGGTTGGGCTGCTGCTGCTCAGGGTTCAGGGGATGGTCAGCTCCTCCTGGAGACAACAACCAGATATCAAAGGCTGATGACATACCACAATGTGCAGTTAATAAGAACACTGTACTAGTGTGTTGTGTGTGGCAAAATGCCATAGAATGATAAAAATGGTATATTTTCCACAGTGAGTTTCTACTGATTCAAGTTAAAAAAAGTACATGTATTTATCAATCAATCAATAAATAATCATCAAACATATAGATAAAAGGATGGATTAACCCATTTAAAAATAACTCATGTAAACATGAATTTTACATAAGATGAGAGGTCTGGAACAATGGTACTGAGGGTGTTCCCCCACAAAACATTTCCTTAATTTTAATTTAGAAATATTTTCTCCAGTGTGCTGTGGAAACTAAGACTTTTTCAAACCTTTTTCTGAGAAACTCAAATAAATACCTGCAGATAACTAGTTTTTGGAAGTTTTTTTTACAGACCTTGCCCTGATTATTCAAATCCCTCCTTGTTAACCTGTTCTCACTTTATCATCAACTGACAATTACTTTTGATAGAAATGAATGTGTTGATTATGTTGAATCCAGCATCCAGTAGCACCACTGATGACATTTTGAAAACAATGCTGAATTCTGAGTTTCAAAGCATGAGCAGGGTGGAGGCAGGGTGAATATTGGGGGACTGCGAAAATAGAAAATCAACCAGGGCAGATTAGACACCTTTTAAATGTAATTACACTATTACATTAGTTTGAGACTTTCCATTGAGTTGCCTTCATGTGATCAAATATGGTGAAGTATCCTCTGGAAATGTATCACCTAATGTTGAGATTTGCTCTAATACTAAATTTTATCATCTGTACGTTAAACCTCAGATACAGTGGCAAGAAAAAGAGTGTGACCCCTGTGGAGTGAGCTGTTTTTTTCATCCACTTCTTATTAACTGTGACCTCGCCTTCATCCAAGTCACAGAGGAAGACAAACACAGTATTTCTAAGATTCTCACAGATTCTCAGGATGTATGGTCTGAGCTCAGTCCACAGCTTCTCTGGATCCAGGTCTGGCTCTGACTGGACCACTCCAGAAAGTGGATTTTCCTTGATGTTTAGGGGGATTGTCTCGCTTCATCAGCAGCTTCTCCTGAGCTTCAGCAGGGGGACAGACACCCAGCTCCCTCCACCCTGCTCCACCTGTGGGAGGAGGTTTTCTTTTCGTGTTGGTCTGCAGAGACCTGTTTACACAACACACAGAGCTGATGTCCAGTCTCATCAGTCCATCAAACAGTTTCCTGTAGTGTTGTGGAGAGTCAAACTTCAGCTCAGGGATGCAGCAGCTTCCTCTGTGGTGTCCAGGGCAACGGGACTCCATGCTCCATGGTGTGTGTGTGGTAGACTCATGAACAGAGATGTGAACCAACCCCAATGATTCCTTTAAGCCTTCAGCTATGACTCTGAGCTTCTTTTTCTCATTGATCTGAAACCAAATCATCTCCAGTTATATACAGTTTGTCTGACTGTGGACTAGGGATGTTACCGAAACCTGGGGCAAAACTTTCCAAGTCGAAAATTTCGTTCAGAAATTCAGTTTCAGGTCACGGGAGGATGAATGTGAGGAGAGGGGGGGGGTGATAATGGGTTAATGTTTATCGAGTGCATGTGAGAAAATAAGCAATGTTAATATTGTTCTTAATTTCTTTTTTTTCCTCTTACAAAATGCCAAAAAGTACAGATAAAAGTACTGCTAAAGTACCGGATCCATAAGTGGTATCGATAAAAGTAGTGTTACTGTTAAATCGATCGAGATGACTGTCACCCTTTCAGCTCCATGATGATTAACAATTCCTGATCCTGAGGCTACATCCACACTAATGTACTTTAGTATTAAATAACATCACTTTTACATTGTTTACACCTGACTTCCTCACGACTCCGGAGTTTTCGAGCCCCTAAAACGGAGAGTTCTGTAAACACTGCTGGTTTTAATTTGAAAACTGTGTGGGGGTTGTGTTTTATTTTGAAAACTCTGTTGTGTTGTAGTCTGGACAGACAGAAACGATGATGTAGACACCCACATTCGCTTCCTGATTGGGTCTACCAGTACCACCGTGATGTATCACTGTATTTACATTGTGATGACTCCCAATATTTCCCACCGCCATGCTCACCTCATAGCCATGTGTTACGTTCAGTAGGAGTTCCACCTTGCTAAGAAAACTCTGGTCTTATTTTTCACCATCGCTGTTACTCATTCGTTGCATTTTCTGCAACTAAGCAACCAACTGCAGAGCAGACAATCTGCTTCCTGTTCACACCAGCACACACATCCCCAGTGGATGTGAATGGTCATGTGATGTGCACTTTCAGGTGCGTTAGTAGAGATTATTTCTGATATGGACCTAAAACACTCATCTGGATGGAGATCGTGTTCAGTTTAAAACGCCGTTCTAAAATGAAAAGGCTTTTGTTTTAGTGATACACACAAAGCTTATGATTACATTTATGTAATTTTGTTTGTTTTATTTTGAAAATATTATTTTTGCGAGAGGCAGTATGGCGCCTTACTTCGGTCTGGGACTCTCTTTGCGTGGACTCTTGTTTATTTCCTCATTCTGCTGAGCAAAGCTGCACTGACCAGAAGCACTGTCGCCTGTCTCATTCTTTCTCCTGTTTTAACAGGTTGGTGATGTTTGAAACACTTGTATAATTACATACACTTATATCTCTACATTTGTATTAAATGCTAGATCGATTCTGTAAGGGTATTTGATGCATTTACATGATTTTGTGAACGAATGGGGAACATACAGTTTTTCTCTGTCACGTGTGGCCTGATATGTTGCAGACGTTAAACTATTTGTTGTGTACTCTAGTTTAGTACTTTTATATAGTTAGTGTGATTGTTTGATATATATATTGTGAATTGTTATATTATTAGCACTTTGAGAAAGTGAGAAACTTTGCAGACACTGCAGTGGGTTCAAGAAGCCACATGATTTAGCTCCAGACAACACAGGTTAAAACTTGTGTTAAACCTTAAACTGCAGCTACGATCACTATTGCAAAACAAAGCCACTGTGTTTAGTAAATGCAAGAGTTTCCAGAGCCACTCATAATTGTCTGGATTTACTTCCTGGTGAATGGTTGTTGTTACAGTGAAGCAGTCTGACGACCTTGCTGGTAAAAATCACAGTTAAAATATGTGTATCACAACCTGTTCAGTGACATGTCACCTGTTTCAGCAGGGTCCACGTGTCTTGTTATAGACAAAGTAGGAGCTGAGTTTTTTACCCAGTGTTTTAAAAAAAATGGAGCTCACCATGTTTGAGTCTGATGGAGTTGAGGTCAACCTCCACCCCCTCCACATGAGGCCAGGGCACCACAGGCTTAAACTGATCTGCGAAGTCTCCTTTGGGCAGCAGACTGTCATCCTGCAGGAAGTGTGTATTACTCACAGGTACATCATTAACATCAGAGAAAAACATAATGGAAGACTATGGTGCGACAAAGCAATGAAAAGTAACACAATATGATTAAATATGGCTCTGGACCAACTTCACACTGATAAGAGCTTATCACTAGGGGTGTCGTGTGGCGTAGTGGTCTAAGCTGGCGCCCCATGTGTAGAGGCTACAGTCCTCGCTGCAGTTTCCCCGGTTCGAGTCCGGCATCGGACGGGCCTTGCTGCATGTCATTCCCCCTCTCTCTGCCTCCCCATTTCCTGTCTCTCTCTACTGCACTATCAATAAAGCCCAAAAGAATATACTTTTTAAAAAAAAAAAAAGAGCTTGTCACTAACGGTGGGATGGGTGAAGGCTAAATCATTCTGTTCCGTTTCATTATGAGCACTATCGCCCAACCCTGCAGAGTAGCTTTTCAAGTTCATTTTGCTCATTATTTGGTTTTAAATAATGATATTGTATGGTTGAGTCTGAACCGCTCTCAACGTGTCGGACAACCAGCGCACACTATCTGCCCAGCAAGCTGACCGAGTTAGCAAATATGTCAGGCCTGTGTGTCGTCAGCTTTAGGGTTGGATGTCCGCGCTAATCTCCCCATTCAATTCATTTGGTTCGTGTCAACCCTTGATTCAGTTACATCAGATAAAAACAATGTTACATTAAGAATTTCTTCTGCATTCAACCAGTGAGCAGCACTTATGTTTCCTTGGATACAGAATGGTGTAAAGTGGCAAAATGTCCCGGTTATGAAAATTATTACTTTTATTTGGAAACTGTAAAATGACAAGGGGCATCATCTTCATGCAAAGAGTCAGAGTCACTTATTAGCATCCCTGAATTTTCAAGTACATTATTCTGAACAGGGTTTTTCCTGCATAGAGAATTGGGAAGCGGCCACCTCCGTCAAATTTCGTGTCGCCTCCGCCTCCCAATAAAATTCTAGTATTTGTTTTCTCTGTACTCGATGGATCTGACGTTTGTAACTGCAACTGTACGCCACTACGGCAATGTAGTGGCGCTGTATCGTAATTCGTGCATCAGGCAGAGCCATCCGAAATGCCAAAGAAGAATACTAACTCGCTGGATTTTCTGCCTGCAGAAGGAGGCGGCAACCTGATTTTGTGGCTCTTCAAACCCTCAACGTTTTATAAGAAATGGAATACGGCGGCCCAAAAAAGATTTTTTTTTTCCGGATGACGTCACCGTGTGTACTACACTCTCCGCGCGGTCGAGCTGTGCCTCGGGAACGAAGATGCTTGCTAGGTTGATGCAAACGCCATACAGAAAAGTTAGTTAGAAAACTTGTCGGCCTGTTTTTCTAACGTAATTGTTTTTTAATCTATATGTTAGCCGATATATTAGCTGCGTAATGACTGGATTCACTGATATGACACTGTAAGTGATTTTTAATAGCTTCCTTTTCTTCAGTGAATTTGAATTTGGTAAGTCATTTACCTGACAGGTGATCTTTTCTGTGATCTGTGTGCCAGCAGTGTCTCATCCTTACTGAAGTTCACCAGCCTGTCTTCCGCTCACAACAGCCACATTCATTTAGTTTATAGCTTAAACTGTCTCAGTGTGGTAAAATTATAACTCTGACTTCACGTCCACGTTGGCGGTTGTGGCCTGAGATGGTGCAACCTGCTCCCCTTCTCCACTGGTCCCTGAGGGGAAGAACCGTCCATGACGTCCTCATCATCGTCTCTCTTACTCCCTACATCGTCATTATGTGTTCTGTATACAGTGTGCTAAATGTTCAATGGCATTCATTATTGTTTAAATTAAATCTTTTTTTAAGAATCCTTTTGATTAATTTTATGTTATTCAAATCAAATGTCTGGGACAGTAATGTACTTAATGAAAATATCTGTGTTCTGTGACAGCTACATTTGTGAACATTGAAATTCTGCAGTGTTGTGGAAATATTGTATTGTAATGAACTTGGTTACCATGGTTACTACCCAATAGCGTCTTTTAAAACACACATCGGATTTCTACCCGATAGCGTCTTTTTCAACAAAAACACAACAACTTCACACACGAAAATGAAGGATTTCACATATTACATGCATTTGAAATACTTCCTTTGTAACGGTGTATTCAAACCGAGTGTCACTTCAAGGGAGCGAAGTGACTTAAAGCGTGATTGTCAAAACTTCATAGTCAAAGGTAAGTAACATTATGACAGGAAGGAGGAGTCCATGTCCATGACACATTAACCACAGATGGAAGTAGCCTGAACTGAAATGTGTGTTGTGACACAGACCTATCATGTAATGTTAGTATCTTTTCACAATCAATGTCAATAAAATAAAAGCAGTTGTGCGACCTACAGACCCTTTCCAAAAAATTTGAATATCATGGAAAAGTTGTTTAATTTCCATAATTCCATTCAAAAAGTTAAACTTTCATAGATTATAGATTCAGGGCCCACAATTTAAACGATTTCAAGTATTTATTTGTTTATTTTTACATAATTTGGGCTTCCAGCTCATAAAACCCACGAAAACAGGAATTCAAAAAATTAGAATACTGTGAAGAAATCAGCCCAAATTTTGCAGGGCATGAATGTTTTAAACTGAGTGTCACACACTAATCATCTACTAAACTCAAAGCACCTGCACAGGTTACCCCAGGTGTCATTAAATTGCTTCAGTTTGGTTCAATTGTCTCAGTTCGGTTCAATATGGGGAAGACTGCAGACATGACAACTGGCCAGAAGACCATCATTGATACCCTCCATAGGATGGGTAGGCCACAAAAGTTCATAGCTAAGGAGGCTGGCTGTTCACAGAGTGCTGTGTCCAAGCATATCAATGGAAAGAGCAAAAGAGATGACCATGGGCTTCAGCAGATTATCAAACAGAGAAGATTCAAGAATCTGGCAGAGATCCAGAAAGAGTGGAATGAGGTGGGAGTCACAGCTTCAACAACCACCACATTCAGACGCATCCGGGAGATGGGCTACAACTGTCGGGTTCCTCGGGTCAAGCCACTTCTGAACCTGAGCCAATGTAGGAAGCGTCTCAACTGGGCCAAGGAGAAGAAGGACTGGACCGTTGGCCAGTGGTCCAAGGTCCTCTTTTCCGATGAAAGTAAAGTGTGCCTTTCATTCGGGAATCAAGGTCCAAGGGTTTGGAGGAAGACGGGTGAGGAACAGAACCCAAGCTGCTTGAGGTCCAGTGTGAAATATCCACAGTCAGTCATGATTTGGGGTGCAATGTCCGGTGCAGGTGTTGGTAAACTCTGCTTTCTTAAATCCAAGGTCACCGCAACAGTCTACCAGAGTGTTTTAGAGGACTTCATGATTCCTTCTGCTGAGGATCTGTATGGAGATGCAGATTTAATCTTCCAGCAGGACCTGACCCCTGCCCATACCGCCAGAAGCACCAAAACCTGGTTTGATGCCCATGCCATCACAGTGCTTGACTGGCCAGCCAACTTGCCGGACCTAAACCCCATTGAGAATCTATGGGGTATTCTCAAGAGGAAAATGAGGGGCACCAGACCCAACAACAAAGAAGAGCTGACAGCAAGCATCAAGGAAATCTGGGCTTCCATAACTCCCAGGCAATGCCACAGGCTGATTGCCTCAATGCCACATCGCATCGAGGCAGTGATTAAGGCAAAGGGATTCCCAACCAAGTATTGAAGATTGACATATCGTTTTGAAAGTACCATATTTTGATTGATTTGATGTGATCCTAATTTCTTTCTTTTTTTTCTGCAAAAACTGAGAAGTAAATGGTGATTTCTTCACAGTATTCTAATTTTTTGAATTCCTGTTTTCGTGGGTTTTATGAGCTGGAAGCCCAAATTATGTAAAAATAAACAAATAAATACTTGAAATCGTTTAAATTGCGGGCCCTGAATCTATAATCTATGAAAGTTTAACTTTTTGAATGGAATTATGGAAATTAAACAACTTTTCCATGATATTCTAATTTTTTGGAAAGGGTCTGTATATGTGCTTTTATGTTAGATGATATTGGCCACATTAAAAAAAGAAAAGATATAGACGATGCGGAAATCATCAATAACAAGCATTAAATGTCTAAACGAATCACAATAAAGTTAAAACCTCCATTTTAATAACTTCATTGTGATTACACAATAATATGTATACATATATACACACACATACATATATATATATACATATCACAACAAAGCTATCAAAATATTTATATAGGTATATATATAGGTTTTAATATATATATAATGAAGTTTATCCAAGTGGAGTTACTGTTGTATGATGAAGTTTGTCCAAGTGGAGTTACCATACAAGATGGCGTCGCATGCGCAAACGGGCCATTCAGCAAATCGGGTAGGTCCGCAGATCGGGTAGCGACAGGCCGCATAACGCGGAAGTAACCCGGAAGCCAGAAACTTTCTCGGCGTAAACGCCAGGCGATCAACTGCTATAGAAATGAACGGGCGCCATTTTTGATCCAAACCCTACAGATGAATATCATCTCTTTTACATCCAAGCACAACCAGCTTCTTGAAAAATTTCTCTAAATTAACGGTACATCCCATCCTGTATGTTTTTTTGCAGAAATGTCTCAAATCATAGATTATTTTAAAAAGAGAGTAAGAGGACAGGTTAAACAGTGCAGAGGGCAGACATCTTTAGTTCTTCTAATATGGGGAAAAAAAGTTAATTCATGTTACTGACGAGATACAGTTAATTTGTCAGGACTGAAAGTAGGCCTAGTTCTCAGCTACAAGTATAAGGTGCCAGTGGAGGAGAGGATCAGAGTGCGAGAGAGAAGTCAAGGCGAAAGTACCAAGTCATTAGGAGTGTATTAAAGAGTATATTAAAGCCAACGTTTTTTTTTTTTTAAATCTTATTGCCGCCGTCGTACGGCTTAGTACCACCCCCGCCAAATTTTTGGCCAGGAAAAACCCTGTTATTCAGAATATCTTCAGAAATAAATGCAATTGAACCAATTTGCAAGCAGAATATTTAAATAAAATGTCCAAGGCTAATGAACTAAAGAAAAATAATAACTCTTCACGTCACAGTTTGCGCGACTGTGGGCAGCTCATACAGCAGCTACAGTAAGTTTTAAACTTTGTAATGACTTGATTTCCACGCGGCAAACATTTCACACAGCATGCAGCCCTAACTGAGCAACTTACAATGACCAAACCACTGTCTACCCACAATATTTAGTACAGAAAAACATGTTTGATGAGAAAAGGCACAAATTCAAAGATCAATCTTGGGAGTTTAATCATCAATAATGGATCAATTTTGATAAAAATCATGATGAGAACATTTATTTTTCACATGGCTGCACATCCACCTGGTGACGCAATATATATTCCTTCTGAGCACAAGCCAAGTTGTGTTATTTACACAAAACAATTACTGATACCTTGATCGATCAGCCATAGACAGTTAGTGTAATAATCTTATGATCAAAGCCTCATTTTTGGCCCTCACTGGTTCATCTACACTGAAAATCCCTTCATGAATTCTTAAAAGGGTCAAGTGTGGAGATCTGGAACTGCATTTGCAGATCTTGGTGAAAATGAAGCTGATGAACAAACTTTTAAAAGGTACTTTATCTGTATATGTTACTATCCACAACAACAGTGTCTGAAACTATCCATAGAGTGTTAAAGTCACAGAGGGATTAATATCTAGGGGGCTGTGGTAGTCAAATATTAACCATGCTCTTCCTTAACTACGCTCATAACTCTGCTGTGTATTCAAGGCCAGTTACAAGAGGTAGCTTGTAATAGATAACACATTTCCCTGACTATTACTACGTGTGACATCAGTTATCAGAGGACCAATGAGTAATCTGTATCAGAAAGAAAGTTACACAATTCAGTGTCTCAGTGTTTCACTGTTTTTTCACTGAACTTCAGTTCCTGAAATTTCAATAAAAACTAGTAAAATGCAGGTATTGAAAAACTTCTGACTGGTTGTGTATGTGCTTAAAAAAAGAAAGTCAAATATCTTCTTGTGAACTTTCACTATCTTGGACAATTATTCCTATACAACATATCTATCAATATCATATACTATCTGATGTCCATATCAGTTGATAAATTGGGTAAAGATAAAAATCCATTTTACTCTTGCGAAGTATTTTTTTGTCTTGAGTGTTTTTTGTTTTTTTTTAGGCTGTTACAATAATAATGTTTTGATGTAAAATATTGACATTCAATAACAGTCACAATTTTTTTCCTACCAGAAACGCCACCATGCGAAAAAAAAACCATACTGCACCACTGTCACCTCCATCCCACAGGTGGCATCACACCTATGGATATACTGTAGTGGTTTCTACAGTATTAACCACTCATCATAATTATCCAACAGGTCGCTATTTTTGCTTTGCAGCAAATGTTCTCAGTTGTGACAGTTTCTGTAGAAAGGGGTGGCACAGTCATGGTCATGGTCTACTTTACAGTTGTCAGTTAATAATGACAATCCAATAATCCTCGGGCATTTTTTTGTAAAAATGGCAACATTTGCTGGTTCCTGTTTCTCAGATGAGATGAGAACAAACAACTGATTCAGGTCGACATACTTTTACACGGGAGACGTGACTGAACTGAGCTCAGCTAGTAACTAACAACTCAGTTCCGCCTGAGGGACCCATGATACCGACATGACGACATATGCGGATCTGCATCCTGGTGTGAACCTGTGTGGGCTAGGACTGTAACCTCCACGGCACCATGTGAATAAAGGCGCTGGTACTAAACGAAGGAGGATGTAGTTGTTCATCGAAAGGAGTCTATTCACTTCACAGGGATGAAGGCGGCTAGGAACCAATCTCCATGACAACCAGTGTAGGAGAGCTAGCTGAGTGAAAACCTATTCTCGTGCTGGTCGTTATCGGAGCGATGGCACCGATCTGCTCCTCCGACCCCTCTGACATTACCATTCATCACCCACACACTGGGTTTGCATAGCTAATGTACCAGGTGCTTTAGATGTGTTGTATTGGGAGTTATGCTAGCAGCGCCGATAGCCGTTCACGCTACATGCGTTTTCGACACTTCGGATTTACCGGTTTGCAGTTCACTCACCCGTTTTCCGAAGGGGTTTTCGTCGCTGGGTTTCGGTGACAGAGAGGACCAGAGCACCACCAAACCAAGAAACGTCCCAATTACAAGCAAGCTCCGTAAAATGAATCCGACTTTCAGCCTCATGTTGCGAGCTCTTCCCGGGTAGCCTGGCTGCCGTCAGCTAAGCTAAGTTAGCTGCTATTGCTCCTAGCAAGGGCTGACCGGCTGGCAGGATAGCCAGGCAGGCGGCTATCGACTCGGTAGCTGCGGATGTTTTAAGTTTGAACAATGAGGTTGGCCCTAACTCGACGACAGGCAGAGGTGCTACAACAATGATATCTTGTCTCACCAGGCTGCTATCGTAGGACTCCTACGTCCGTCCCCCTCTTGACAGTTGTGGTCCTGCCCTGCTAACGTTACTGCTGACACGGTCCCCCCCCCCGCCCCCCGCAGTGCAGCCCTGCCCAGCTAAGAGACACACGCCTGTGGCGGCGTTAAGTGGCTCACCTCTGGGCGTTATGGCTCCACACACTAAGAAAACTGTTGACTGATATATTAACTATATATTATAAATTTCTTAACATCCAAATGTTAAATATTCAGCTCGTATCCCACAGTTTCTGACAGCAGTGTGCAGCGGGGCTGGTCGAGGACTCACGCGCATTAAAGCAGGTTTTACTGGGTGTGGGAGATCAACCAAACAAGAGGTCTATCTGGTTCTTGAGAGCACATTTGGTAGGTGACGTGCGGCTCAGGTATTATAAAGGCAGTGGCTCATTGTTGTAATGGCCACGTCATATATGTGTACAGGGATGCAGAGACAATAATAAAAAAAAAAAACTTCAGTAAGGAAATAGCACGCAGGAAATATCCACACAGCTGGATAGAGAATACTGAAGAATAAAGAAAATTAGAAAAAATATAATGTAAAGTGTAGTATGTGTTAAGTGTTTTAACACAGTGTGAAGACCACGTGGAGGGTTTGGGTCATAGGTGTGTCCTGGTAATTTTAGATCATCCTCAGACCTCACAGCATCACTTCTCAGACATCATTTAACATGTCACAGGTTGTAGGCTTCTCCTCAGACACAGTCTTGGACTGAGAATCTTTCTGGACTTGTTACTAAATGTGTTTTTAAGTCTGCAGTCAACCACAAATGATTGTTCACACATCACATTTACTCAAGTACTGTGCTTCTGTCAGATCTGAGTTACCATGACTTTCAGTGTATTCTTTTCATGCAACTTTATACTTGTACTCCACCACATTTCAGACTGCACTACATTTATCTGACACCTTTAGTCAAACATATGAAGAGTTTATAAAATATCATGCTTTGTAAACAATCTATACATGCAGAGCTGAGACCATTAGTCCATTAATCAATTGGTCGAATCAGAAAATGAATTAGAAACTATTTTCACTGTCACTTCGGTCATTTTTCATGTGTAAAGCCAAACATTTCGTGGTAACAGTTTGTCAAATTTGAATATTTGCTGCTTTTCTTTATAATTATTTTTAATTTATTTTTAATAATTAAAGCCATTTATCAATATTTTATGAATTTTAACAAACCAAAAAAGTGAATCTAGAGCAATTGTTCTCCAGACTCATGCAGTAGCCTAGAATGCACTTTAAACATTGATTCCCTGAAAACATTGCAGCAATTTAGAAATATGCTTTTTAATCTTTTAAATCATAATGTTTCTGAATGCAATTGTTTTTATTAGGAACTAATTTTGTGTATTCTGATTGTTTGCTTGTTTTCTTTCTGCTTTTGTAATCTCGGCATCATTGAAAATGAGGGTCACCCCTCAATGTACAGTGGGGAAAATAAGTATTGAACGCGTCAACATTTTTCTCAGTAAATATATTTCTAATGGGGCTATTGACATGAAATTATCACCAGATGTCGGTAACAACCCAAGTAATCCACACATACAAAGAAATCAAAACATATAAGTCCATAAATTAAGTTATGTGTAATAAAGTGGAATGACACAGGGAATAAGTATTGAACACACTTAATGAAATTTATTTAATACTTAGTAGAAAAGCCTTTGTTGGTAATGACAGCTTCAAGACACCTCCTGTATGGAGAAACTACTCGCATGCATTGCTCAGGTGTGATTTTGGCCCATTCTTCCACACAAACTGTCTTCAAATCTTGAAGGTTCCCGGGGCCTCTTCTATGAACTCTGATTTTCAGTTCTTTCCATAGATTTTCAATTGGATTCAAGTCGCATGATTGACTGGGCCAGTCTAGCAGCTTCATTTTCTTTCTCTGAAACCAATTGAGAGTTTCCTTGGCTGTGCGTTTGGGATCATTGTCTTGCTGAAATGTCCACCCTCGTTTCATCTTCAGCATCCTGGTAGATGGCAGCAGATTCTTATCAAGAATGTCTCGCTACATTTCTCCATTCATCCTTCCTTCAATTATATGAAGTCTGCCAGTACCATATGCAGAAAAAGAGCCCCACACCATGATTTTTCCACCTCCAAACTTCACTGTTGGTATAGTGTTTTTAGGGTGATGTGCCATTTCTCCTCCAAACATGGTATGACATCCAGAGTTCAATTTTGGTCTCATCTGACCAGACTATATTCTCCCAGTATTTCATAGGCCTGTCCAAATGTTGTGCAGCAAACTTTAAACGAGCTTCGACATGCTTTTTCTTCAACAATGGAGTCTTGCATGGTGAGCGTGCATAGAGGCCATGGCGGTTGAGTGCATTACTTATTGTTTTCTTTGAAACAACTGTACCTGCTAATTCCAGGTCTTTCTGAAGCTCTCTGCGAGTGGTCCTTGGCTCTTGGACAGCTCTTCTGATTATTCTTTTGACTCCTCTGTCAGAAATCTTGCGAGGAACACCTGGTTGTGGCCGGTTTATGGTGAAATGATGTTCTTTCCACTTCCAGATAATGGCCCCAATGTCTGTAATGTCATCAGTCTGTTTTGCAACAATAAGGTTGTGAAGGGCTTGAGAGCACTCTTTGCTTCTACCCATCATGAGATTCCCATTGTGTGACACCTTGGTAATGAGAAACCTTTTTATAGGCCATCAGTTATGACTAAACAAGCTGAAATTAATTTGCACTGATAGGGGGCAGGATTGCTTTCTAAATACTGACAGATTTCAGCTGGTTTCTTGGCTTTCCAAGCCTTTTTGCACCTCCTTTTCTTCAGTTGTTCAATACTGAACTGAATACTGTAATTCCCTGTGTCATTTCACTTTATTACACATAACTTAATTTATGGACATATATGTTTTTATTTCTTTGTATGTGTGGATTACTTGGGTTGTTACTGACATCTGGTGACAATTTCATGTCAATAGCCCCATCAGAAATATATTTACTGAGAAAAATGTTGACGTGTTCAATACTTATTTTACCCGCTGTATCTCAGATGTAATTAAAGGTTGATGAACTGATCACTCAAGTAAGTAGCAAAATGCTGCATACACATTCATGTTGGAGTAATAATAATCTAATGATGTAATATATAAATGTATACCAGTCAAAGGGCATTTTCCTCACTGAGTACTTTTACTTTTAATACTGTAAGTATATTTTCCTGATTATACTTACACACTTTTACTTAAGTAACATTCTCAATGCAGGGCTTTTACTTGTAATGGAGTATTTTTACAGTATCATATTAGTACTTTTACTTAAGTAAAAGATCTGAATACTTCCTCCAGCAATAATGAAACCCTTATGAATTACCTCTTGACAATGTTGACACAGTACACACACAGAGTTATACATTGAACTAAGCAGTCCACTGGCTTCGATTACTGGTTCAGCAAACAAAGAGTGACCCCACTCCATGCTCACTGACTGCCAGAGATGTCACTGAGGTCATGTCACGCATCATTTATTGGTATTTACATATACATAGATACTTGAAGGCCAGCACTTGCCAGTGGAAAATAAATTCACAGTATTCACAAAACCAACATCTAGAGCCAAAGTGAGTTCAGAGTGTGGATCAGCTGATACTATCAGTCAGAAAAATATGTCCCACTGAACAGACATCAACATAGAGAGAGGTTGCGATAATTATGGCAACACAAGACGATGTATGACCTGTATTTGTTACAACAGTAATGGTGTTCTACACAGCATAAATTATGGTGTTGATATGTTATGAAATGTGGTTAATTAGGGGCTTGGCACATCCAAATTTAAAATGTTATAGAAATCTTTCCACTCATGTTGCATGCATGCCCTCTACGTGTGCTCCAGGTAGTGAGTGAGCAGGGAAGGTAGAGGAAGGCGGGGGAGCTGCTTCAGTCTGGATCGACCAATCAGATTCCTGATCTGGAGACGACACAACTGACAGAGACTCCTCGGAGAAACTGGAGAGAGACAGAGTGATTTCATTTTGAATGTCAAGTGGTCCAACACATCAGCATTGAGAATCACCCTAGTACAAGACATTGCAGTACCTTCAAATGCCAGTAGCAGCTGCTGTGTTCTTCCACCAGGGGGTGCTAGCTCTACAGGTCGCTGATTGTTACCGTCTCTTAGGTTGACATCAGCTCCATAGTCCAGTAACAATGGCACCTGATCAGCACTGTCCTGTCTGACAGCTGCATGCAGAGGACTGTCCTCTCCCCTGCCTACATTAACACTTGCCCCTAGAGACGAGGAGAGAGCAAGAGGAGGAGAGGGCAGGAGGAGGAGGAGAAGGCGGGAAGAGGAGGAGGAGAGGGCAGGATTAGGGTGAGGAGAGGGCAGGAAGAGGAACAGCAGAGGGCAGGAGGAGGACGAGCAGAGGAAACTGTAGTAAGTGATCATCCTATGAACCAGTACAACTCCTCTGCATGAGCCTGTTAGTTGTTCTGAAGTGCAGGACTGAAACCTGTGGGTGAAGCAGCTTTTAGCTTTGGTGTTCTGAGCTGTTGGAACAGTCTGACCTGAGAGCAGCTGAAGTTTTGAAACATTAAATGTGGACTGGCTTTAATGAAGTATGGTTTTTTAGTCATTAGTCACTTTATTTTATTCACTTATTTTATTGTATCTATGTTATAACTCATATTTTATTCTATTTTATGTTATTTTATTATTATTTTTTTTTGCTAATGTTATTATAGTTTTTAAATAATCTATTTCATTGCCAGCTTTCTTACTTGATTTGTCCTTTGTCTTTTTAGCTCATCAGTCATCTTTGATGCACTTTGAACTGCACTGACCTGTATTAAAAATGCTATACAAATAAAGTTTGATTGAATAATTGAGTGATTGATTGATTGATAGAGAGGTGATTACAGGGAAAAGAAAAAAACAATAAATGTTTCTGTTGCACGTTTTGTTAAATACACTCGATACTTCCACCTCTTCAGGCCTTGAAAATAAAAATTAATTAATTTTAAGGACTCACAAGCCAACAAGTTTCAGAAACACTCAAGTTTGCAGTCATCTGGAATAACGGCACACAAACAGATGCCTTGATGATTTTTGGTGGTCAGGGAAGCCACCAGGAATCACAAGTAAAGTGTATTTTTGTACATTTCGACCCAAGTTAAAAGTGCATTAAGCAAAGGAAAAGGTTGGGAACCACTGCTCTAGACCAATGGTGGCTTATATAAAACAGTGGGAACCTGCTCCCAGTACACGAGGTGACACAGGTGTGCTGCAAATGGACGTGGCAGAAAGTAAACCAGACACACCTCTGTGCAGCAGGATCTTTGTGCAGGCTGTGTGTCGGTGAAGACAGCTCATGTAGAGAGGAGAGCCCAGGTGAGACACTTCATAGTCTGGATCTGCTCCATGAGATAGCAGTGACTCTACACACTGGCTGCTTCCTGCTCTCTCACACACACACACACACACACACACACACACACACACACACACACACACACACACACACATGATGAAACATTCAGGAACTTTCAATGATGAAGAATTGCGCTTGAATTGAACAGCTTACACTCTGGCTGCCATCCCTTTGTTCTCTCTTATCAGGGTTTCAGTGTCATATTGTACTGTAGTTAAACATTACAGCCTGATCTGGAGATGTTTTATTTTGAAAATGCCACTATGCAGAAGAGAGACAAGTCATTTAGCCAAGCTACACCAAAATCTAGTGACGTGGTGTTTGAGATATTGTGACTGAGCAAACAGACACCGACTAATCGGGACCTAAACTAGACCAGAGATGCCATGGAAACATACTGTCATTATGTCAAGGGCATGATTGTAAGCACTCAGAGAAAGTTTCATGTCAGTTTATTAAAGACTGGCTGAGATATGCCCAAGCATCAACATCAATGAAGCTAACACTGAAGAACCAAAACCTGCAGTTCCCTTTAATGACAACGAGAGTCTGACTACAACAGTGAGTCATCCACATAGACTCCCATGTTAAAATGTCCAACTTAACAGCAGAAATAAACATGTTTACAGCCTGGTACAAAAACAGTTTTGGTCTCTATAGTTAATTTCCGCCTTCATGACAACTGTTTATATAACTCACCGGTTTAAATTTTAGTAAGGACTAAAGTTATAGAGAATTGGGGGCGTGGCCTCTTTGAGTGACAGGTGGATAAGGGTATGCTTGCCACAAAACAGCATGCAGCAAAGTCTCAGCTCCCCAAAACGCCCCACCTTTTTGACCATATTTGGATTAGCTGGGAGTTAGGGGGCAGAGTCAGACACTGTCAAGATGGCGACGGTCGGGTAGCTCACTCTGAGCTTCAGAAACCTGTGGGCGACATCCATCTTTATTTACAGTCTATGGATATGACTTGATTTTTGGCAACTTTGTGACTGGCTGTGAGAAACAAACACTTTTGAAAATCAAAAATCCATGTGATAACTTCTATGAGGCTTGGTCTGAAGATCAGCTGTGCCAATTTTAGTGAAGAGTGGACAACGTTTGTCTGAGGACTAACGAAAAAACACTATTACATAAAATCCAAAATGGCAGAAACTGATGTCACAGGGTGCATTGAGCTCAAATTGATTCCCTGGAATCCCTTTGTTCCTAATTTTTATATTTGAATATCAGGATACTGGGCTGCTCAGTTTCATACTGTAAGATTCCTGCTCTGCGTATTCACCTCTCTTGCAGGCTTCATGCAGTGCCGATGGGAAATGTGTGTGTGGCGTGTGTGTGTGTGCTCCATTCTGCAGCAGTATGTCCAAACAGCTGACACTCCCGGAGGCACAACAGTTGTACAGAGGAGTGACACCATCGATGGTAGCAGCATTCACCTAGACACATACATAAATGTGAGCAACACACATACACACACGTGTGTTTCAGCAAACATAACATAATGATAGTAATAGTGATAAGAAGAACACTGACATTAGCTCCAGCATTTATTAGTGCTCTGACGCAGGCTACATGTCCCGACAGGCAGGCTTCATGAAGAGGGGTCACATGATCGATGGTGACAATGTTGGCGTGATATCCCTAAAATATAAAAGCACACAGCATTCTGACTTTATTTGTTGAACTTTCTGTTTGACTTGTTTCAATCAGTCTTTCTGGTTTAAATGGATTCTGAGTAAACACTAGTGACTGCAGTATCGGCACATTTTCCAGATTCCCAGGTTTCTGCCTTAAGGACATGACTTCATCTGCTGCTGGGAAAAATCACACCAATGCCCCCTTCCCCTTTTAATACATCTATTGTGACACCTGTAGAATTAACTGTAACTGCATCTGTGGAGTTATTAGAGTAATCAGTTATGAGGTGTAATTGAAGTTTTTGTATGTAAGTATATTTGGTGGCTGTGGGGGCCATTCAGAAACTTCAGCTCGTGTTTCCTGAAGTGGTTCATGGTGGATGTTGAGGTCTGCTTTGGATCATAGTCTTGTTGTTTAACCGTCTCAAAGAGTGAACTGGGGACAGCTTGTCCAGTTGGAAAAAAAATTTCTGGGTCAGTGGTTTAGGTTAAGAATATTGACAAGACAAGAATACCTGTGTGTGTGTGTGTGTGTGTGTGTGTGTGTGTGTGTTACCTGGGCCAGCAGAGTGCGCAGGGCAAGCAGTCGACCCTGAGAAGCAGCTTCATGGAGCGGTGAGCGATCTGCCCAGGACCCTGAACACAAGTAAAGCAAAATATTTAACTTAACTGACACACTTACTGAGTTGTATTTATAATACTCATTAATTTCTTGTGCCACTGATTTCAGTTGTTCTATATTCTTTCGTACGATTTGAAACATCTTGACTTAAATATCGTAACTGGTAGCATCATAAAAGACAAAGTGTGAAGGCGACGCTGGGTGATTTTCACCAGAACAAACTCATCATTCAGAAAACACTATAATCAATCAAAGAGTCTACAGGGACTTTAAAGATTATGATAAATAATAATAATAATAATAATAATAATAATATTAACAATAGTAATTATTATTATTATTAAGCTTCAAACTGCAGTTATGAATTGTCAGGAGCATGATATGTGCTGAAGTCAGAGGCACTAGGCTCAGCTGAACTGCACCACAAAGTTAACAGCTCCAGAACAAGCAGCTTTCTGTCATCTCTTTAAAAAAAAATAGATCCAACATCTCTTTTCATATTTAGCAATATATTTCTCCTTCCACCATTTTGCTGCATCAGATATTGAGATAGGTGAGTGATTTTCTATGACAGTACAATCTGGCTTGTATGGACTCAGCTGACTCAGGTCCCATGCACTAGAAGCTTAATGCTCAGTCCAAAGCCATCCACCACCATCCATCCCCAGCCTCCTCTCAGCCTCTCCAGCCAGTTCCGGTTCCAGAATGTTGCTCACTGATCTCCAAGCGCCAGGCTTCTTCATTTCACACTAAACAAGCTAAAGCTGCCATCATCATTTCTCTGCTCACTGGCTGAGCGAGACTCTGGGGAACCGCCCAGTGAGAGACACAGCCTCCTAACTTCTCTTCTGACAAGGTGTTTGACCCCCCGGCTCCCTGGAGGGAGGCAGCGAGGGGCCCGTTGAATGTGGCAACAGAGACTAAGTGGAACAAACATTCTCTTTCTGACGCATACCACCATGGACTTGCTGTGATGATTTAATCTGTCTCACTATTCACACTAGGGGGAAAGCAGCAATGGGCTCTAGGTGAACTTCTGCCTGTACAGTGACCAGTTCGACCACTTCCAAGTCACCTGTTCAGTAAAAGCTGTGATACAACGCCACAAAAATGAAGACAGCACAACTTGTCATGATGATCTTCAAGTAAACATCAAAAAAGCAGCGATCAGGTTACAAAATCGTCCAACAGGAATGTGCACACACCACAGACTGAACAGTTTTTCACCAGGACTGTCATATCATCAGAAAGGGTCTGTAAACTAAATGTCACACTACACAACCTACATCTCAGACCAAAACAAACGCTTAGTCCGCCACACCTCCAACCTCTGTTTGGCTACAATCCCCTCCCCTACCTTCACCTTTTCAGTCAACAAGGTGTTATGATGCTATGAAATCATCCAATAAACACACAGCGTTACAATAAAGTTAACAAGAGCCAACTGGCAACAATTCAGCACAACCATTAGCCCACGATTGCATAGCTGTGATATGCTTCACAGCAGTACTGACAGTTAGCCAGCTAGCAATAGCAACATTTGCAGAACACATATGTAATATTATATGTATATGTTAGCAAGTTAGCTTATGTTAACATGCCAATGTAGCCGTCACTAATGAAAACAGACTGTAACATTGTGAAAAAAAATAAAGTTACTGACAAATGGAGAAGAAAAAGCAGTTCTGAGTCCAGCTGGAGCCTTTAGCAACTTGTAGGGTTCTCCTCTCAGTAAACCAGACCAGTATGAGCTCCATGGTCAGACTGGGAAAGAAATTCAGCCTTGGTCTGATCCACTGGGACTGGCCGAATGAATGACAGGCACACAGAGAGGACTGGTAAGGACACTCACTGATTTTTTGGATGTTTTGATGGTCCACCAGCTGAGCAGGATTTGAGCTGGCAGCTGCCATGTCCAGTCCACCTGTACTCTTGTCTGATCTCTGTGTGTCTGAGGCCTTTTTAGACAGAAACGTGGTTTCTTATTTAGTAGAGGAAATGCTGGAAGGTCGCTTTCACCTCAACGGGCGGAGCCTGTGTGTTTATAGACGAGGGGAGGGCCAGCAGTTTAACAGGAGGGACTTAAATGCACTAACATGCACACACTGCCGGACCAGCTACCAAAACAAAAAGCAGAGAAACTAAGATGACATCACATACAGAGGGGGTGTGGCTTCTTCTCTGCTCAGGATGCCATTATTCCACTATATCTTTACATAGAAAACAGTTGTTTGCTGCTGTATATGCTGCATATAGAGCATGCATGTGTATATGTGTGTGTGTATGTGTGTGTGTATATATATATATATATATATATATATATACTGTATATGTATTCATGTACTAGCTTTATTAATAAAAATACTCTAATAATTAATATAACTGTTAGTTTCAGCCCCACTCATGTAACACGACTTCAGCATTGCAACTAATCTGACCTGCCTGCTTAACCAGCTAACTCAGTGTTACTGACTGACTCAACCAGTGAATCTACCAAGACTTTAGGCACCAAGAAAAACATCTTCCTACTCTCATCTAATCTGCTGAGAGAAGACACGAGTTGCAAAGGCAGGCAGCCATATTTAGATGGTCTGTGAGGTCATTTAACTCCCTGGCTTCCTCTGGGTTGTACATGCCAGCAGCCATTTTGGAAAGGTAGATGAATAGAGGGAACACTGAACTCCTCCCTCTTTACATGACATTTTAACTACCTGTCTGAATCCAGTCTTTCACCTCCACATTTCTTTTACTCACTATCCCTTCCCCTTTTTTTCCCTGTATGCCTCAGTCCTTTCATATCCTGTTCAGTTGATTTATTTTACATTTATTTTTCTGTTGTAAAATGCTCCACATGGTACATAACTTTAAAAATGTTCACATAACAAATCAAACAACCACTCCCTGAATTTGTGGCACTGTCCAACAAAGCACAGTTCAGAGGTGATCAGCTTCAGATACCTGACACTCACTTTACCATGAAGCCAGATTGAAGCCAGGTTCTTCAATGGCCAGCTCCTCCATGTCTGCTCAGACATTGACTGCGGTGGATTATTTAGTTTAGAGGGTTTTGTTAGGCGTCTTACACCTTTATTAGAGTTTGTAGTAAAGAGACAACAGGAAATGAGGAAGAGAATGACATGGATCAAAGTTTCCCAGCAGGACTTGGACCAAATCGTCAGGCCACTAGGCCTTCATGAAAGATCTGACTTCTCCAACACTGCAACGTATTAATGGTGATGTCTACTACTGTGTCCTCAAGTGAATATAACTGAGTCAACATTGGTTGTATCCGAAAATGAAAACATTGGATTGTGGATAATATAAATTCCTGGTTTTGACACATAAGAAAAACGTCAAACCTCTCAATGGCACAAGCGAGGGTGAAGATGTGTTTCTTGCAAGCTCCTACAAGGTTGACTTTACAACTCAATATGACACTGTCAAGATCAGGCATGTGCACAGACCTCTTCCTGTAAGCGTTTGAAATTCAAAGCCTGTATGTCTTATGTTTAGTTATTCCTCTGCTTCCTTTAGTAATAGCGAAAGTAATAAAAGTAGTTTATTTGCCTTAACAGAGACTAGGCTCAGAGCTCAGTGATGTTATTAAAACATCGCCAAAGGACAAATAGCCCATTAAACTTTAGCTTCAGAAAAAGTAGCTGTATGGTCGGGCTCTTGAAGTCGGTTGGTTGGTTTATCATTTTTTTTATTTAGAACAGCTTTTTCAGTTTTATGTGAAGATTTGTTAATATTATAGACCAGGAGCAAACAAACTATACATGTGAAAACACCCTAAAGCATGCACAGTGTGTTTTCTTTGTTCTTGCCTGTTCTTGTGATAAATGTAGAAGCAGTCAAGGCTAGAGAGCTTTGTCTCTGTGTACATTGATAATTTTGTTGAAATCTGTTAGGTATTAAACATATGCAAGTGTACAACATTCTAACTACAAAGACAGTTTCCGAGGCACTCCACACGCTTCAGGAGTCTGTTAGGCACCTACGGGCTGATATTAAACTGGACATGGACGCTGTGAGAAGTAAGCTAACAACACTGGTCACTAGCCTGCAGGCATCGCTAACTTCACGAAGCCCGACCAAGGGAGCTAGAGGAAGCTGCTATTTTCATTGACAACTGTGTCACACAGCTCTACTCCACCATATCCAGCGTTTCACAGTGCTGTCATGTTAACCTTGACCCTACCACACAGGCTGCGTGTGGCAAGTTACTGCCTGAATATAAAGCACAAAGGGGCTACACAGAACCATGGCCACCATAATTTCTGTGCTGTTAATGAATAATTTGAGCGTGGTCACACACGTGAACTTTAAGCCTTCACATGGAGACAGAGGGAGAAATGTCCCAAACATAGTCTGATGTAACGTATGATTCTGTCACTGTTATCCACCTCTGATGTGATGGAAGTGAAGCTTCCTGATCAGCTGATTATTTATTGTACTATAACTGAACTGTCTCTGTCCCACTGTGACATTTCATCCACTTTAAATCCTGTTATAATAATTGTAATGATGACATTTTATTATCATATTACTATTATTATTAGTAGGAGTAATAGCAATAGTGGTAGCATTCTGACTTTTAACAGTTTGAAGCCCAAATAAACATTTTTTTCAATTGTAAAATCCATCTGGAGGCATTCAATCAGAACAGGGAGTGTGGTCTCTCCATCTCTCTCTCTCTCCCTCTCTCACAACCTTAAGATGTGAAAAAAGGTGAAGCCCCTCTGTCACTCCAGGCTCGACACTTTCAGTCGGTCAGTTTGGAGTATTCAATATATTTGGACACAGCCCCCACTCTAACCTGACCCTCCTGAGCTTCCAACTGCACTAAACACAGTGGGTATACAGCTCTTTGCAGGGCCAAATCAAACACGTCCACTCCACTGGGTCAACACATTTCAAATAGAGAGCTGTCACCATGCTGATGAGTTCAGCAGCTGGTGCAGGAACAGTGACATGATGATTACTAAGAGTAGGTCAAACGTAGCAGTCAAATGGTTTTGGTTGGTTAACATCCTGATAATAAGATAATGAGTTTTCTCAGATAATTATAAGTAGGTTTGTTGAGTTTATTTGTTTTGTATGTGACCTACATTTAGGTCCATGTTTAAGCATTTAAATACATGCTCACTATAGGATCACGCATTTACTTTCTTTCAAACTTGAAATTACTAACTAAAAACTAAAAACAAAAAGTTGTCAAAAAAAGAGAAGCAATGCAGTCTATCAGACCAGGTATCCCATATGAAAATGTACATATATGACATTTCCATATATGAAGTAAATGTTCATATTAAGTAAAAAAAAAAAAAAAAGGCTATATTTACATATGTGAAAATTATATATCAAAGCTATATAACATTGGAACATTTTCATGTATTGACACACAGTATATGTCAAGCATATACAAATATGTATGTTTATGTATTAATGCTTATATTGTAGACATATGTTTTGCACATATGCCATGCCTTTCAGTATATGTTGATATAATATATATAAATATACAATACAGAATGTTTAAAATTAAAAAGAAAAATGTATATCATATACTTTTATAAACATATAACGTTTTGAATGTATATCAAAAGTTATAAAGTATGTTGTTTTAATAAACTTGCATCTATAAATTAAATATACATTGTTAACATATATGGTTGCAACATGTTATATATATAACATGGGTATTCCTTATATGTTATAAACTTCATATATCCAGAGGTTGTATATATATATATATATGTAATGATAATATATTCCCTTAATGGTGGCATATATGGCAACATCACTCATATATTACATTTCCTTACAGCAGGAGTAGTTTATAAAAGCTTTGTTGAGTTGAGATGTTTATGTCTTTCTTTTTTCAGTTTGGTATAGAAATGGACAGAATGAGGCAGTAAATCTCAAACATACAAATCACCCTTACTTAATTATTTTGTCTTCTTACAGGACTCTATGCGTCTCTATATTGTCAAGCTTTAACTCAGTGTTTTCCCAGTAACAGAAACAGACTGAGCAGCAATGCACCGACCTTGGCTGGTCAGAATGCCCCAGCAGGCCTTCTTCCTCTCCGGGCCTTGTTCGGGTAGCGTTCCGGGTTCTGCGCCTCTTTTCCGGGACACCTCCGCTCCGGACGGAACCTCTGGCATGTTCCGACGGCTCGTCCTAACACGCCTACTGCTAAAACAACACAGACTGCAACAGCGGAGCGCTGCGCAGGGTAAGGTCAGGAGAACGACGTGATTGGCTCAACGGCTCTGTTGTTGTGTTCACCGCACACGACCGCCTCACATGCGCGCCCACGTGTCCACGAGCGAGGCTATTTTTGTCGCTGAAGAGGAGCAGACCGCTGTACAGCCCTCAGCTGAGTGTGGGCGGAGACTGTAGCTGTGGCAAAGTAAAGCATCTGATGATCAGCTGAGTCTGACACACGGTAACCTTTAACTCTCTGTGCTCCTTAGAGGATCTGACTGATAGCCTTCAAATCTGACCTCTGATCAGATTCCAGTGTAGATCTCACACCTCACACACAATACATTTGTACATGTGGGTCATATATGACATATATGTCCCTATACCAAGAGATGTTGCCATATTTAGTATGTCACCTATAAGGAGATATATTATTATCACACTTATACATCCTCTGGATATATGAAGATATACGTTTATAACTTATATGGAATACACATTTAAAAGTAGTACAATTTAAAAATATCTATATGATGAATTTTTATACAATATAACATGTTTGTCAAGGATATATACTGTATTTAATTTAAAGTTTAACTTAAGTCTAACTTAGTGAACACTTTAGCCCTATTCAGTTGCTCAAAAGCACTAGAAATTAAAGGGAGGGGGTACCTGTTGTGGATGGTGATCTCATTAAGCCCTCTGTAATCTATGCAGGGCCGCAAGGACTTGTACTTTTTGTCCACAAAGAATAATCTCCGTCGGGAGAAGAAATTCCTGCAGACAGTGATTCTTCCACATACTTCCTCATAGCCTGGGTTTCAGGTGCTGACAGAGAGTACAGGCGGCCCCTAGGTGGTGAAGTGCCAGACAGCAGGTATATAGCACAGTCATAGGGCTGATGAGGAGGCAGAGAGTGGTATGGGTTTTGTTGAAAACCTCCTCAAGTTCGTGGTAACAGGAAGGAACCCTGGAGAGATCTGGCAGCTCAGGATCAGAAAAGGAGGTGCTCGAGGATAAAATCGGAGCAGAAGTAAAACAGTCCTTATTACAGTTCTCACCCCAAGACAAAATTCAACCAGTGGACCAGTCTATATGAGGATTGTGAAACATGGAAACAGATGTGCTCAGTGTGGGAGTCTGGGAATGATAGGGTCAGAGACTGAGCGCGATGGGTGACCTTACTAACAATTCTGCCATCTAAAGCGTGGGCATCCAGAAACTGGTCCAGGGGAAAGTTCTTAGGTCCAGCTTCCTGACAAGATTAAAATCCATCAAATTAGCATCAGAACCCGAATCCACCAGGACAGGATGCTTAAAAGGAAAGCACAGGAGGCTGAAGAGACACTAATGGCAAAAACAAGGAAACGTTACTGGCAGCCAATGTACTTCTCACCTCAACAGGTGGGCCTGAACCCCTCACTGGACAGGACACGATGTAATGGCCCATCTTGCCACTGGCCCTCAGAGACTTGCCAATGGCGTTCCTCGGCTGTCAAACGGGTGCACCCTAGCTGCATTGGCACCTCCCAATCCACAGAGGGTGCCGCGGCTGAATCTGGGAAAGCGAAGATTGGCAGGAAGCAGAGGAAAAACTGCCTGCAGTGGCAGGGAATTGCGAGAGCTGGTTCAGTTTCTTTCTCTCTCACATAGACACTTGTCCACCTTCATAGCCAAGGCGATAAGGGAGTCCAGATCAACCGGTAAGTCAAACGGTGCTGGATAGTCCTTAAATGTATTGGAAAGGCCATCCAAAAAGGCATCAAACAGGGTAGATTGATTCTAGTCACTCTCGGCCGCCAGAATGCAGAATTCAATGGCGTAATCAGAAACCCTCCTTTTGCCTTGCTGCAGACTCACCAGAGTCCGTGCTGCCTCTTGTCAGGGGGTTGTCTGCTGGAAAATCTGGGTTAAGGATTTGGTGAATGCATTCAACGAATAACAAACCAAAGACCCCCTGCTCCACTTGCTGTTGCCCAAACCTCCGCTCTTCCCAACATGTGAGAGATGATTTAAGCGATCTTTGAACAATCCGGGAAAGCAGCAGCTTGGAGAAGCAGTCTCAACACTGGAAGCTTCAAGCAAGGCGGAAGCCGCTGCAGGTGGAGCCGGATGGCTCAGAAGTTGCCGCATCTGCTCAACAACTTAATTCAGCTGAGTACCGAAGCCAGCAAACAGGAACTCCTGATGATTAGTGAGCTCCCGCACTTCATGGTGAGGGTGACTGATGTCTTGATTTTGGTCCTGAATCTTGCACACATGCACCTGGAGAACCGAACTGATGGATTCCGGCTCTGCTGAGCCCATTCTTGACCAGTTCGTACTGTGATAACTGACACAGGCAGGGACTCAAATGCAGATTCGTACTTTGGGTTAAAGCAGTAACACTCCTTTCATCGAAGCAATCAGTCAATCAACAAAGGCCACCACTAAAACCAGACTTAACCATCTGAGGTCTACACCATGATTTACTGAAGAAACACAAGTCCTGAAGCAGGCCTGCAGGAGATTGGAGCGCAAATGGCGAAAATCCAGATCTGAAGCACTCTACTTATAGTAGCACAAGTCTGTGTTAAAATACAAGCTTGCTCTCTCCACTGCTAGAGCAGCCTACTTCTGTCAGTTAATCAGTAACAATAAACACAATCATAGATTTCTTTTTGACACTATAGCTAAACTCACTCAGCAGCAGCCATCTCTTAGCTGCTCACCCTTTACAGCCCATGACCCCTGACTTTCTAGAATTTTTCAGACGAGATTAGACATAAAATCACCTCTTCTTCTCCAGCTTCTACAGAACCAGCAGAGCATTACTGTCTTAGCTGGTGTTGACTTCCAAACCCACCATCTGTCTACTGGACCTCTACCAGCTAAGCTCTCCAAAGACCTCTGGCCAATCTTCAGTGCTGAACATTATTAATTTATCACTCACTTCTGGCACAGTTCCCAGTAGCTTTAAGACTGCTGTGGTTAAACCTTTACTTTAAAAAACCACACCTTGATCAAGGATCCTTAAATAATTATCGACCAGTTTCAAACCTTCTTTTCTTTTCTAAAGTCCTGGAAAGAGCTGTGTCTCAGGAGCTTTTGTCTCATTTGTCTAATAACAATCTTTTTGAACTGTTCCAGTCTGCCTTCAGGGCCTGTCACTCCACTGAGACAGCGCTCACTAAAGCAGCAAATGATCTTCTGATCTCCATGAATTCGGACTCCACCTCTGTGCTCCTCTCAGTGCAGCTTTTAGAGGTCTGTTTGTCTGCTGTGAAAAGCTGGATGTCATAACTTTTTGCTCCTAAATTTAGACAAAACTGAGATGTTGGTCGTTGGCCCGACCCGACATAGACACCAATTTGATCATTAACATTAACTCTTGATAACTGTGTGATTTCTCATAGTCTTGACAGTCGAAAATCTGGGTGTCACCTTCGATTCTTCCCTCTTCTTTGATCAGCACATTAAAGATATCACAGCTCTGCACTGTAGAATTGCTCCGGTCTGATGATAAGAATAAACAAACAATGATCTTGGAATTTTACAATATGTCGCGTACATAAAGCCACTTCCTGTTTCGCATTGAACTCGCTGCCAGAGCCACACCCATAAGTGAAAAGTTAAAATTCATATCCAAGAAGTATCAGCTTCTTCAACAAATTATTTTCTGACCCTTTTTTTGAGGTCCAGGTCAACTCTCTAGGAATAATAAATGAAAAAGTAAATCGTAATATCACATGTTGCCCAGAGGTGGGGCTACGAGAATTACTAAATATGGACATATAGGTCTATTCAGGGCAGGACTCTTATCACATATAAAAATTATGGGGCTGTTTGGACACTGCATACTAGAGTTGTAATAATTTGAATTTTCATGGCGAAGGACCGTACTGCCACAGGCAGGCTGTTCCACAAAAAGTCACGTTTTAACTGCAGTGCATCATCAAGTTGTTAAGCATTTCCTGACAATGTCTAGGTCAAGATTTGATGAACCTGCTATGAGCAGTATATCAAAATGTATGAGAGTTTTGCTGCACCTGAAGCTGCTTCTCTGTCCTGTCAGAATGTTGTGGAGAGCGTGGTTGGTATTGTCCAAGATGGCCTCCATCTTACATTGCATGGGTCTCTCGACAAAAAAGAGAGTCCAGACTCCTGCCAAGCAAAGACCCAGCCTTTTTTACCAGCTTGTCCAGTCTCTTTGTTTTCATGTCGGACATGCTGTTGCCCCAGCAGACTGCAGCATAAAAAAGTATACTGTCCACCCCTGACTGATAAAACGTGCAGCATTTCACTGCAGACGTCAAAGGAACTGAGCCTCCTGAGGAAAAAGAGCTGGCTCTACCCCTTCCAGTAGATGGCATCTGTGTTCAGGGGCCAGTCCAGTTTACTCTCCAGGTGCACACCTAGGTATTTATAAGTGTGCACCAACTCAATGTCCTTCCCTCGAATGTTGACTGGCTGAAGGGTGGGCCTAGACCTCCGAAAATTGATGACCATCCCCTTGGTCTCGGAGGTGTTCAGAAGGAGGCAGTTCTTGTCGCTCCATTCACTGAAGGCCATCGTCAGATCCCTGTACTCCTCTTCCTGCCCATTCCTGATACGTGTTACAATAGCTGTGTCATCCGAGTATTTCTGGATGTGGCAGGACTCAGAGTTGTATTTAAAGTCCGCTGTATACAGGGTGAACAGGAATGGAGCCAGAACAGTCCCCTGTGGAGCCCAAGTGCTGCTCATCACTGTCCCCTAGACATAGTTACCCAGCCTGACATACTGTGGTCATCTTGTCAGGTAATCCACAATCCAGGACGTGAAGCAGGGATCCACCCCCATCCCTTCAAGCTTGTCTTTAAGAATGGGGGGTTGGATGATGTTAAATGCACTTGAGAAATCAAAGAACATTATCCTCATGTAACTACCTGGCTCATCCAAGTAAGAATGGGCCCAGTGGAGCATGTAAAGGACAGCATCATCCACTCCAATATGTTTTTTGTAGGCGAACTGTAGGGGGTCCAATGCATGTTCAATCTGTGGCCTCAGAAGGTGGAGAAGCAGCCGCTCCAGGGTTTTCATGATGTGTGATGTGAGGGCCACTGGTC